TTGTTACTGATGTTTTTTTCTGAAATCAGTAGCTATTATTCCTACTAATTGGTATTAGTAAAGTGATAAACATGCAACATGGTCAATAATACATTAGAAAGTGTTAATTTGCAGCCTGTACAGTGGCTCACACCTGTAATCCCAACAACAACTTTGGGAGGCAAAGGTGGGAGGATTGCTTGAGCCTAGGAGTTTGAGATCAGCATGGGCAGCACAGCAAGACCTCCTCTGTTTAAAAAAACTGTTAATATCCAAAATGTGGTTCCTGGATCTGTTGAGGTTGAGAGTATTTACTAGACATGCAAATTTTTAGGCCCCACCCGAAACCAGTGAAAGCAGAAACTGGGTGGGCCCAGCAATCTGTTTTAACAAGTCCTTCTGGTGATTCTGATGCTCACTATTGTTCTAGAACCACTCATCTCCATAGTTGGCTTTTGGAGGGGAAGTCAAGAAAGCCTAAATTACTTTTTCTATTTAAAAGAATTTATGATTAACATTTGGTGTGTGACAAGTGTTTTTGTTAATTTTTATTAATCAGCGAGTTCCTGGGGAAAACCCCAGGGCAAAACGCTCAGAAATGGATTCCTGCACGAAGCACTAGACGAGATGACAACTCCGCAGCAAACAACTCCGCAAACGAAAAAGAACGACATGATGCAATCTTCAGGAAAGTAAGAGGGTAAGTTTCTAGGTCTGTTTTACTAAAAGATGGGGAGAAGTATTGATTAGCTGTATTTCTCTGGCGTGTGTGCGTAGAAGGCAAGGTTCATGCCCAGAGTATATATGTTTTAATGAATGTTCATAACAGTTTTTTAAAAAGTGTCTTGAACTGGCTGGGCGCAGCAGTTCATGGCTGAAATCCCAGCTGTTTGGGAGGCCAGTGCGGGCAGATCACTTGAGGTCAGGAGTTCTAGACCAGCCTGGCCAACATGGTGAAACTCTATCTCTACTAAAACATACAAAAATTAGCCAGGTGTAGTTGCAAGCACCTGTAGTCCCAGCTACTTGGGAGGCTGAGGCAGGAAAATCACTTGAACCCCACAGGTGAAGGTTGCAGTGAGCCAAGATCACACCACTACACTCCAACCTGGGTGACAGAGCAAGACTCTGTCTCAAAACAAAATCTTGAAGAATAGCATATCATATTTTGGGACGTAAGATTGCTTTCAGCTATTGGATTGCTGTCCATAATCCTGTTGTGTTAGCGTTTCCCTTGGCTAAGGGAAATGGTATGTTATTTAAGCCAGTGAAGCAGGGAATATGATGGTCTTAGCTCATGGTCTAGTCTTGATAATGAGATTTTTGCAGTCTAACCTTGAGAAAGTGAGAAAGGATTCTTGTCAAAACAGTTGGGAATCCCCCCCACCCCCATCTAGTACAAATAATTGTAATTAAAATCACAGGTTTATTTCAATATCCTTTGGTTTTACATAAGAAATCATATCTTGCTTTTAAAGGGAGCAAGTAGAAGAAAAGTCAGTATAATTTAAAGGCAGTTTTTCAGTTCATATTTTGTGTATTAGCTAACACAGTGTAATTCCTTTTTCTCCAGCATACTAAATAAGCTTACTCCTGAAAAGTTTGACAAGCTATGCCTTGAGCTCCTCAATGTGGGTGTAGAGTCTAAACTCATCCTTAAAGGGGTCATACTGCTGGTAAGTTTTAAATATTGGCTTAACTCAAAAGGGAGAGGGAACTATTTAACAAACTCAAGTGGTTTTTTTTTTATATTTGGATTACTGTTTATAAAACCCCTGAGGTGTGAGCTAAATAGGTATGTGTTTCTGAATGCTGATAGTGATTAAAAAGAATCACTGACATTTAGTAGTATTAGATTTAACAGGTAAATTTTAGGTTTATGCTATCCTTGAAGAGATAAATAGGGGCGCTTAACAGGCTGTCCTTTTTCTTTTGTGGAAAAGGCCATAGGTCTTGGAAATGCATTGTATGAGAGTTTAATGTAAAACTTAGTTTTGGTATGCATGGCATTTTCTGACTTCCAGGAGATGGATGTGACTAGATGAGATCTGTAAAACAGGACATTTTTGGTACACTGTAATAGCTAACATTTAGATGGTTGCATTTTTCCTAAAAGAGTTCTTCAAAAAAGTTTTTGTATTTAGTTTAAGCAATGACATTTTCTGCAGATTGTGGACAAAGCCCTAGAAGAGCCAAAGTATAGCTCACTGTATGCTCAGCTATGTCTGCGATTGGCAGAAGATGCACCAAACTTTGATGGCCCAGCAGCAGAGGGTCAACCAGGACAGAAGCAAAGTACCGTAAGTGGTAGTTTTTGTTTGCTTATTTTAAAGTTGACTTGAAAAATTGGCTTAAATGACAAATTTTTTTTTCCAGACATTCAGACGCCTCCTAATTTCCAAATTACAAGATGAATTTGAAAACCGAACTAGAAATGTTGATGGTAAGAATTACAGTTGATACTAAGTAGTACTGTGTATTTTCAGCTTAATTCTGAATGTTGGTTTGCATCATTGGTCTTTTTTTTTCAGTCTATGATAAGCGTGAAAATCCCCTCCTCCCCGAGGAGGAGGAACAGAGAGCCATTGCTAAGATCAAGATGTTGGGAAACATCAAATTCATTGGAGAGCTTGGCAAGCTTGATCTTATTCACGAATCTATCCTTCATAAGTGCATCAAAACAGTAAGTATGATGGGGAAGTTAGGCTTAGGCAAATGTTAATCACTACTACATTGAGTCAGTTATCATCTAAGAGGGTGGTTGACTAGTTAAATACAGATGGGCAACAAAATTTACTAAACATAAATGAGTAATTTGGAAGTATGCGGTGTGTTTGACAAAGTAGGTTTAGAACTGATCAACACAGACCAGTAGAAAGCACTATACCAGATTCAGTAGGAACTAAGAATGAGTCATTGCAAACATAAAGGGGAAAGTACCATGCCTAACTAGAGTAACTGTAAAATTTTATCAACATGGCATTTTATTCTTGTAGCTTTTGGAAAAGAAGAAGAGAGTCCAACTCAAAGATATGGGAGAGGATTTGGAGTGCCTCTGTCAGATAATGAGGACAGTGGGACCTAGATTAGACCATGAACGAGCCAAGGTATGTGTGTAGCTGATGGAAGCAGTTACAAGTACTTTTGTCTATTTTGTGACATCATAGGGGATTGCCATATTTAGCCATTAACTTGGTTATCTAGAAGTCTTAAAAGCTGTAAATTATACAATTAGCTTTAGCTCTTCCAATTAATGTGTTGTTCTCTTACCAGTCCTTAATGGATCAGTACTTTGCCCGAATGTGCTCCTTGATGTTAAGTAAGGAATTGCCAGCGAGGATTCGTTTCCTGCTGCAGGTAAAACTGGTTTCTTTAAATGCATTGGTAAACTTGAGTTTTTTGTTTAGGAATATTAAAATTATTTTTCAATTAAAGGATACCGTAGAGTTGCGAGAACACCACTGGGTTCCTCGCAAGGCTTTTCTTGACAATGGACCAAAGACGATCAATCAAATCCGTCAGGATGCAGTAAAAGTAAGATTGGGTTTTCTTTGTTTTGTTTGTCACATAGACTGTGTTTGTAGAGCAGTATGGGATCCCTTCCCCACCCACCTCAAACACTTGAGGAGTCTCTCTCATCTTAGTGGTGGAGCTTAAAGTTTTTAGTGTCTTGTCTTTTTTTTTTAAGATGAAGTCTTGCACTGTCACCTAGGCTGGAGTGCAGCAGTGCAGTCTCAGTTCATTGCAACCTCTTCCTCCAAGTTGAAGCGATTTTCCTGCCTCAGCCTCCCCAGTAGCTGGGACTACACCACGCTCCACTAATTTTTTTTTTGTATTTTTAGTAGAGATAGGGTTTTACCATGTTGGCCAGGCTGGTGTTGAACTCTTGACCTCAAGAAATCCAAGGGGCTTGGGCCTCCCAAAGTGCTAGGATTACAGGTGTGAGTCACTGTGCCTAGCTTTGTCTGCCATTTTTGAAAGACTTTATTTACAGAAATAACATAACTAATGGTTTAATATCTAGAATGTGCTCCCCATTTGGAAGAATTTTAGGTTTAAGTAAAATAGTGTCCAGAGACAAAAAGTGCTTATTCATTTCTAAAGGATCTAGGGGTGTTTATTCCTGCTCCTATGGCTCAAGGAATGAGAAGTGACTTCTTTCTGGAGGGACCGTTCATGCCACCCAGGATGAAAATGGATAGGGACCCACTTGGAGGACTTGCTGATATGTTTGGACAAATGCCAGGTAATTTTGGAAGGAAAAAAAAAAAGGTTTCATTAAGCTAAAAAAAATCACTTAACTTTTTTGTCAGTTTTGAAAGTTGTCCGTGTATGTGTTTTAAGGTAGCGGAATTGGTACTGGTCCAGGAGTTATCCAGGATAGATTTTCACCCACCATGGGACGTCATCGTTCAAATCAACTCTTTAATGGCCATGGGGGACACATCATGCCTCCCACACAATCGCAGTTTGGAGAGATGGGAGGCAAGTTTATGAAAAGCCAGGTAAGTAAATATTTGAGTGTTTAGGCAACAAGTGCTAAATTCTGCAATATATGTGATTCCATTTGCCATTAAAACTGTTTTAGGAGTGCATGTTTTCTAAACCATTTTTACATCTGCAACATTTATTTCAAACTGAAATGCTTATCCTTATGATCAGTAAAGTATTAGTAAAATCACATCACTGTATTTGATAGTTAGGTTAGATTTTTATTCTTCCGTTTCATCTTTTACTTTCTCTGGGCAAATTCAGTTAAGCTTTCCTTTTGGCTTGGCTCATCCCTTTGGTACTTGATTACCATAATGTATGGACTCCTTTTTATCTAGACTTTCTTTCTCCTTTTCTGAAATAGGGGCTAAGCCAGCTCTACCATAACCAGAGTCAGGGACTCTTATCCCAGCTGCAAGGACAGTCGAAGGATATGCCACCTCGGTTTTCTAAGAAAGGACAGCTTAATGCAGATGAGGTACATTTGCCTATGTTACTTATATGCCATAGTTTGTCAATTCAGAAATTTATTGCCCAATGATTATAAAAAGACGCGTTATAAAGAGGACTTATGCTGGAGTTTTTTACATTTTTCTCTCTTTCCTATACTACTATTTTCTTTCTTTAAATAGTCCAGCGTCCTATGAGCGAAGATTATGAGATATGAGGGCAAGTCTCCTAAAGTCTATTATTTAGAGCAAGGAAAATGGTTTTTGAGATATTGTGGTTTCCTTGTAAGTAAGGTGATTTAACAACTAAGAATAAAACGCATTTTCTAAACTGTAAATTTGCAGTTTTTTATTTGAATATTTTAGTCCGCTAATCCTAAGAGAATTCTCATAAGTGTAAGATTTATAATAGTATCTCACTACTATATGCATTACATCTTTAAATTTTTTGCCAGAAATTAAACCTGTTAACATGAAGTAACTTCTTGAGTTTTTAAACAAAGCTTGTTTCTGCCCTAGATTGTCGTGTTTGTATAGGATTTTAGGATGTTAACATTTAATATGTTCGCCAATTGCATGCTGTTAATTTAGGTGTTTTGATTTGTTTTCAATTCCAGATTAGCCTGAGGCCTGCTCAGTCGTTCCTAATGAATAAAAATCAAGTGCCAAAGCTTCAGCCCCAGATAACTATGATTCCTCCTAGTGCACAGCCACCACGCACTCAAACACCACCTCTGGGACAGGTGCGAACCATAGTCTGACAGCATTTTTTATTGTTCCATTATTTTCTAAAGATGACTGAAGACATTTTTTTCTAAATGTAGTGTGTTCGCCCCTCTAATTTCATGTTCCTTTTTTTTTTTAAAAATGTCTGTTGTTGATTGTTTAGACACCTCAGCTTGGTCTCAAAACTAATCCACCACTTATCCAGGAAAAGCCTGCCAAGACCAGCAAAAAGCCGCCACCATCAAAGGAAGAACTACTTAAACTAACTGTAAGTTTCAAGTACTCATTTTAGTGTAATTAGCCTATATTTGAGATAGGGAAGACATTAAAGATACTTGCTTGTGTTCTTCACAGGAAACTGTTGTGACTGAGTATCTGAATAGTGGAAATGCAAATGAGGCTGTCAGTGGTGTAAGAGAAATGAGGGCTCCTAAACACTTTCTTCCTGAGATGTTAAGCAAAGTAATCATCCTGTCACTAGACAGAAGCGATGAAGATAAAGAAAAAGCAAGTTCCTTGATCAGTTTACTCAAACAGGAAGGGATAGCCACAAGTGACAACTTCATGCAGGTAGGACTGGACACCTTACTGATTCTGTGATAAGAACTCTTACCACTCAAATTTGAAAACTAAGAGACTGTTGTATATTTCTTCTAAGGCTTTCCTGAATGTATTGGACCAGTGTCCCAAACTGGAGGTTGACATCCCCTTGGTGAAATCATATTTAGCACAGTTTGCAGCTCGTGCCATCATTTCAGAGCTGGTGAGCATTTCAGAACTAGCTCAACCACTGGAAAGTGGCACCCATTTTCCTCTCTTCTTACTTTGTCTTCAGCAGTTAGCTAAATTACAAGATCGAGAATGGTTAACAGAACTTTTTCAACAAAGCAAGGTCAATATGCAGAAAATGCTCCCAGGTAAGACAATGCTGACTTGTTTGTTTTGTTTTTATTATATCTAGAGATTTCTAGTACCTTGAGTGGATTTATGTAGGTTAGACAGTCTGATTGTCCTTCCCAGATAATGATAAACATCACCACAGATTTCACCACCTTATAAAAATAGATTTATGATTTAACTGCTTTCATTTGATCATATATTAAGTTTTTCATTTGCTGGGTTGGTTCGTTGCTACATGAATCTTGTATACTTGAGACATACTTGTGAAGCTCTGCTCTTTGGACAGTACAGCTTGGTAAAATGAACTATTGGATGATGGGAGTGGTTTTGTCTTTTCAGAAATTGATCAGAATAAGGACCGCATGTTGGAGATTTTAGAAGGAAAGGGACTGAGTTTTTTATTCCCACTCCTCAAATTGGAGAAGGAACTGTTGAAGCAAATAAAGTTGGATCCATCCCCTCAAACCATATATAAATGGATTAAAGATAACATCTCTCCCAAACTTCATGTAGATAAAGGATTTGTGAACATCTTAATGACTAGGTAAGATGAATAGTCTTCTACATATAGTAATGTTTCATGTACTAGAAAACTGTCTACAAAGCGGAAGACTAAGTAGTCTCTTGAGTAAGAAAACTCACTGTTGAATTCTGACAAGACCTCTTTCTGTCTAGCTTCTTACAGTACATTTCAAGTGAAGTAAACCCCCCCAGCGATGAAACAGATTCTTCCTCTGCTCCTTCCAAAGAACAATTAGAGCAGGAAAAACAACTACTACTTTCTTTCAAGCCAGTAATGCAGAAATTTCTTCATGATCATGTTGATCTACAAGTCAGCGCCCTGTATGCTCTTCAGGTGCACTGCTATAACAGCAACTTCCCAAAAGGTAAGAAGACTTATATCAGAAGAACACTGTGGGGCAGTTCTTAAAACAGCACACTAAATAATGGGCTTATTCTTCTTACTTTTTTAAGGCATGTTACTTCGCTTTTTTGTGCACTTCTATGACATGGAAATTATTGAAGAAGAAGCTTTCTTGGCTTGGAAAGAAGATATAACCCAAGAGTTTCCGGGAAAAGGCAAGGCTTTGTTCCAGGTAAGTCTTTTGTTAAAAATTTGGTCTGCTTATTTCAATTTGTTTGGTATTAACTTAAAATAACGAGCCTTTTTCAAATGAAATACAGGGAAGATAGTCCTAGTTATTAGTTTGTCTTCACCCCTACATTTATTCTGCACTACTTTAAGCTGTGATTAAGTAAAGCTGTGCAATGAATCAATTCTAGTGGTAAGATCTTAGAGGAAGCTAACACATTTTTCAAGGACTATAGCTATTTATATAGATGGGGGTGACTATATACAAGTTTTAAGCTTTTTAGAAAAATATCAGTAAAGAAGAACTTGCAGCTGGGCACGTGGCTCATGCCTATAATTCCAGCATTTGGAGAGGCCAAGGTAGGAGGATCAGGAGTTCAAGACGAGCCTGGGCAGCATAGTGAAACCCTGTCTCTAAAAAATACAAAAAATTAGCCAGATGTCATTACATGTTCCTGTGGTTCTGGGCTACTTGGGAGGATTTCTTGAGCCCAGGAGGCAGAGGATGCAGGATCTGAGATCACACCACTGCACTCCAACTTGTACAACAGTGAGACTTTGTCTCAAAAAAAGAAAATAGAAAAAGTTTATTAAAAAGGAAGTTGCTTCTGATTTCTCACAATTTAATTTTGTCTTACTGAATGAAGTTGTAGCTCTAGGGAAAGAACATCACATTCCCAAATCACAGTGAGTGCATTAATCAGTTGAAGAACAGTTAAAAAGTAGGTTCCAGGCCTGATCCCAGAGATTCTGGTTTAGTAGGTCTGTGGTACAAAACCCACATGATTGTCATGATACTAGTTTTCCAGGAGGCCCAGGCTTTGATTTGAGAAACATTGGTCCTGTAGCATCTTACTACCTTTTTACTGCTGGTTATAAAATAGGTCGATGAGAATCATTCTTGCAGGATTCCGGATAATACACCACTGTTCGTATAACTTAATATACATACAAATTATTTGTAAGGATGTCCTTGTTTCATATTCTAAAACTGTAGTACCACCTAAAACTTGGTCTTTGGTTGGATTTCTATTTATATCATGAACTATTTTAAGTTACAAATCTTAATTTACAGGTGAATCAATGGCTAACCTGGCTAGAAACTGCTGAAGAAGAAGAATCAGAGGAAGAAGCTGACTAAAACCAGCCAAAGCCTTAAATTGTGCAAAACATACTGTTGCTATGATGTAACTGCATTTGACCTAACCACTGCGAAAATTCATTCCGCTGTAATGTTTTCACAATATTTAAAGCAGAAGCACGTCACTTAGGATTTCCTTCTGCATAAGGTTTTTTTTTTGTAGTGTAATGTCTTAATCATAGTCTACCATCAAATATTTTAGGAGTATCTTTAATGTTTAGATAGTATATTAGCAGCATGCAATAATTACATCATAAGTTCTCAAGCAGAGGCAGTCTATTGCAAGGACCTTCTTTGCTGCCAGTTATCATAGGCTGTTTTAAGTTAGAAACTGAATAGCAACACTGAATACTGTAGAAATGCACTTTGCTCAGTAATACTTGAGTTGTTGCAATATTTGATTATCCATTTGGTTGTTACAGAAAAATTCTTAACTGTAATTGATGGTTGTTGCAGTAATAGTATATTGCCTGTATTTCTACCTCTAGTAATGGGCTTTATGTGCTAGATTTTAATATCCTTGAGCCTGGGCAAGTGCACAAGTCTTTTTAAAAGAAACATGGTTTACTTGCACAAAACTGATCAGTTTTGAGAGATCGTTAATGCCCTTGAAGTGGTTTTTGTGGGTGTGAAACAAATGGTGAGAATTTGAATTGGTCCCTCCTATTATAGTATTGAAATTAAGTCTACTTAATTTATCAAGTCATGTTCATGCCCTGATTTTATATACTTGTATCTATCAATAAACATTGTGATACTTGATGTAGTGATGTGTGGCTGTAAATGGCACCCAAAATCTGTAGAATTAATCAAAGACAGGTCACAAGTCTCATGAATTTGGAGAACATTGCTACACATCGCAACTAAAATTTGGTGACATTTCTGTCAGACTGAAATGATCTTTGGACGAACTTAGCTACTTGCGCATGCTCAAATGGGTTGTAGAACCAATCAATGTTTTTTTGGCCTGTTTGGACCAGGGAAGCTGTTACACATTACGGCATTCATCTTCCCTGAAGTTTTAACAAGTTCATAAGCTTTTGGCGGGTATTTTGAGTACAGCAAAATGAAGGCTAAGCAGAGATTTGTATGAACCTATTTTAGATTTTTAAAGGAGCTGTAAATTATTCCTGACTCTGCCCAACCCTTCCCACCAAGGGGAGGAAACTAATTTTTAACCTAGCAAAAGGAGTAAGTGGTTAGGTAGATCAATTGAGTTCCTATTATAGCCAGAATTCCCTCAATTCAGCCAGGGTATCAGGCCATGGGAAGTTTCAGAATGAAGCCTGGCATGCAGTGGTTTGTCATCGTTTACAGAATCATGGCTTAATCGTCCCACCCCATACATGTCAAGCTACACAAAATGTTTAATACTGCTTCCTTGTTCCAAAGACATCTAACAAACTGTGTACTTACAACCTACCATACTATGGAACCAGCAGTATTTGGAATAATTGGGATGTACCTCACATGATGGCCAGTGTTTTTAGTATCAGCATGTAGTGACTACTATTCATTCACTTCATAGTGACTTCAAAATAAGACTGCATGTCTTTACTGCTTCAAAGTTCTGCAAAATTGAAATAGTTGTCCAGTTTTCCCCATTCTCAAGCCTCATTAGGGCTTCACAACCCTGGTTGTGAAGTTTTGGCTTACTGTATCCAGTATGTTTTGACCCTCCTGTAGGCAGCGTTTGACATGTTACTCGTTCCTTGGAAGTGTTAAATTGTTCGCAGAACACCTTTTTCTTTCCACCTTGCTGACTCCTGCTTCTCAGTTTTCAATGGGAGATATCTGATCCCTTAACATCTTTTCAGTTGCCATTACTCTGCATCCAGTCTAGCATCAAATCCTGTCGATCGCATTCCAAACATTTTAGAAATTGAGCAACTCACTTCTTCACCCACCCACCCTCATTTCTTACGTAGGTACCACAGTAGCCTTAACTGGCCTCCCTGCTTAGTCCTCGGCCTCCCTGCTTAGTCCTCACCCTCCATTTTGTCTTCTCAGCACAGCACCACTTGGCTCAAAACCCGCCACATGGCTTCCCATCTACTGGGATTTTTATGTCAAAATACTTAATTTGGTCTACATGGCCCTACATCTGATTTCCTTATCCCTCACCCCATCTTTACCCCATGACTTGTTTCTCTGATCTAATTTCCACTGCTGCTGGCTCTTAATCCTTGTTCCCACCATACTGGCCTTGCTGCTCCTGGGACATGCCAAGCGTCTTAACCTTGGAGGTTTTATGTTCCTCCTTTTGGATAACTGGGTGACTGGTTTCTCCCCTTCCTTGGGTCTTGGCTCCAATGTGCCTTTTATTAGTAATTAATTCTAATAACCCTGTTCTTGTAGATCATAAGGGGCAGGAAAGAAATTCGTGTGTGTGTGTATACATATATATAATTTTTTAAACCCTAAACACATCCTTAACCCTCTTTATTTACATGTCTTATTACATGACATACTGCATATTTATGTCTGATTCCTGCTAGAATGTGAAGAGCATGAAGTATTTGACAGCTTTTTTTCACTGTTGTATTCCCAGCACCTAGAACTGCCCAGCACCCAGTAAACATTCAAATATTTGGTCAACCAAATCATGAATTAATAAAATTACCCTACATGGCAGGATGTGGACACAGAGGAAGTAAGTAGTGGAAAGACTTCAGACCAGATGGATCTAGGGTTCTAGATCTGGAATTCTAGAGTTCTATATTGATCTAGGGCTAATCTTTACCACTTAGAAGCAGTGTGATCTTAGGTAAGATACTTTGAGTCTTGATTATTTTAGAAAACAGGGCTCAGCCTGGGCAACATGGGGAAAACCTGTGTCTACAAAAAATAGAAAAATTAGCTAGGTGTGGTGGTGCACACCTGTAGTCCTGGCTACTCAGAAGGCTGAGGTGGAAGGATCACCTGAGCCCAGAATGTCAAGGCTGCAATGAGCCGTGATCACGCCACTGCACTCCAGCCTGGGCGACAGAGTGAGCCCCTGTCTTGCATGAACAAATGAAAATGTGCTAACCTGTGCAGTATGAGCTCCTGTAGTTCAAGCTACTCTGAAGGCTGAGGTGGGAGGATTGCTTGAGCCCGGGAGTGAGGCTGCAGTGAACTATGATCATACCATCGCAGTCAGCATGGGAGATAGGGCAAGACCCTATTTCAGAAGTGTATAAAAAACAGGGTTAATACTCAAGGATTGTCATGAGAGCTAAAGAAGCTAATATGTGAAAGTCACTAAGGAGAGCATCCCACATAGCAGCTCAATAGATATGTCACCTTCCCAGTAGCCTTTCTAAGATACCTTTCCCCAGGAGAACTGCTTCCATCCTCTGCACTTCCAAAATCACTGGCTACATCTAATGGGTATAGCTCAGTCTTACTTGATGAATCAAAAGCATTCACCAGTTGACTTTCCTCTTTTCTACTTTTTCTCTCAGCTTCTCTTCAGTCTCCTTTAAAAGACCTCTTTTGTCCCCTGAATGTTGCTGTTCTGCCTCCCTCCTTCAACACTGTCACTCACTCCTATGGCTCCAGTTAACAGCTGTGTGCTGATGACATCTGTATCTTGATCCAAACCCCTTTCCAGAATGTCAAACTCACATCCAATCAGCCCCTGAACATTTTATCTGAATGTGCCACAAGCACTTCAAACTCAATATCCATCCCTAAACTTTCCAACAAACAACATTCCCTCCCTTTCTAACTAAACCATATTCTCATGCAAACAAAAAACAAGTCATCCTTGGCACCTGCTTCTGCTCAACCAACTCCCACATTCTATCCATACCTGCGTTACAGCTATTGAAACTTCACTTCTCTCCATGTCTCCCCACTGCCATCACCTTAGTCCCAGCACTATCATCTCATGCCTAAGTGACTGCAGTAAAAGGACTCCCTTCCTCACCTTGCTTTTGTTGCAGTCCATTCTCTACATTGCAATCCAAGTAAACTTTCTCAAAGTCTGGTTCTTTCTGCGCCTGTGAATGGCTCCCGACTTTCCTCAGAATTAAGTTCAAATTCCTGGCCAGGTGTGGTGGCTCATGCCTGTAATCCCAGCATTTTGGGAGGCTGAGGTAGGAGGATCACTTGAAGCCAGGAGTTCAAGACCAGCCTGTCTCTACAATGGCAAAACTCTGTTTCTACAAAAAATAATTAGCCAGGTGTGGTGTGCTCTTAGCTACTCAGGAGGCTGACGTGGGAGGATCACGAGCCCAGGAGGTTGAGGCTCCAGTGAGCCATGACGGCAACACTGCATCCCAGCCTGGGTGACAGAATCAGACCCTGTCTCAAAACAATTTTTTTTTAAGTTCACATTCCTTAATCTAACAATTATGGTCCTGAGCCATCTGCTGTTTGCCACCTTTTACATTTCCCTTAATCTCCTTTTCTCTGGGCCTTTGCACAGGCTACTCTGCCTGAAACATTGCTGTTCACACCTCTGCATCCCCCTTCATCTAGCTCCTTCAGGTGTTAGCATAAATGTCCCACTCTTGAGAAACATGACTTCCTCTGCCAAGACTGAGTTGGGAATTTGTACCAGTCAGGATCCTTGGTTGCAAAGGAGAGAAATGTAATCTGGACAAAGAAGTATAAAGGAAGTGTTTACTGGAACTCCACTTAAGAGACCCACTGGAAGCCCAGAGAACCAGGCTTAGAAATGGACGATGATATGGTTTGGCTGTGTCCCCATCCAAGTCTCATCTTGAATTGTATCTCCCATAATCCCCACTGGCTGGGGCAGGGTCATAACCAGCCCCATTAGATCCTAGAGCTTCCCCTGCCAATATCTCAGTAATGGCAGGTGCAGGTTTGGAGTCCCAAGCAAAAGCTCACAGTTGACAGAGCTTGGATCATGTGCCCACTCCTCACTGCCTTGGCTTTGGAGCCAGGATCTAGCATTCTGAGCCTCTGTTGTGTCAAGCAGACCCTGACTCCCACCAAGGGGGAAACTGGAACTGTGGAAGGGAATTGGGTGAACAGACCCCCCAAAAGATAACTGTCTACTATGAGGGCCCTCTGTACTCCAGTTTCTCCTCTCAACATGTCCTACACTGCCTGGAGCCACCTGCTTCCTGCCTGTCCTGCCACTGTCCTGAGAAGAGCTCCAGGAAGGGGAGGAGTATGTCTCTCTGAGTCATCCTTCTATTTCCATATTATGGACCAATAAATAGGTATTGAATGCAATAGTGAATCCAGATTTTGTGGAACCTGAATTTTATACATCTATGGGACAGGGGAACTCTTAAACGAAAAGAATACAAAATTAGGTTCAGGGTCCAGAAAGAGTCCTGTGTAAAAGGGTGGCCTTGAAACAAACGATTCACTTCATGGTAACCCTAAGTGAGTTACTATAGTTGATACAATAAATTGTAAACAAAAAATACCTTGTAACTGTTTGTCCCAGTTCACTAGACAGAAACTAAAAACAGGGTAGTTATCAATACAGGCTTGTTGAAGCCAGGCATGATGGCTCACCCTTGGAGTGTCAGTGCATTGGGAGGCTAAGGCAGGAGGATTACTTGCATTCAGGAGTTTGAAAACAGCCTGGGCAACATAGTGAGACCGCATCTCTCAGAAAAAGAAAAAAAAAAAAAAAAGCCAGGTGTGGTGGTACACACCCTGCAGTCCCAACTACTCAGGAGGCTGAGGTGGGAGGATTGCTTGAGCAAAGGAGGTTGAGTCTGTAGTGATACATGATCACACCATTGCACTCCAGCCTGGGCAACAAAGTAAAACACTATCTTTAATAAAAAGAAAAGAAAATGAATGCTTGTTGAAACGACTAGAGCTTTTCTCATTTGTGATTGTCTCACCCTCGACCATTTCCCAGCACTTCCAATCCAATGACAAAGCACCCAGCTCCCCACATTAACATATTCATGTGTGCATTCAAAAGTGTGTGCCTCCTGTGCCTACCTGCTCTAGGGGCTGGGGTACAACGATGAGGAAGACTCAGCCTCTTCCCTCCAGCTCAGACAGTGACAGGGCCAGGTGATGGTCCCCTCGGAGTGGTGACAGGTGCCTTGTGAGCTGAAAGGAGGAAACATCATGAAGAAGCTGAGATGTAGTTTTTCCTGCAAACATGCGAGGGACAGCTTTCCAGGCAGAGGAGGGTCTTCTCTGCTTGGTGACCCAACTTCGCCTTCCTCCTGGCTCCTCAGAGCTCCCATTCCCTCTCCACTCCACACCAGATGGACAGATTCCATCTGGCAGCTGTGAGGGCCTCCTTCTCCTGTTGCAGTGGGTGGTGTGGACCAGCTGTGGCTGTCAGCCTCCAGGGGGCCGAGGGGGACACAGTTCACAAATCTCTTTCCCACCCCTTTTCTCACTAGCTTAAGAGACAATTTTCCCAGCAAAGCCCTCCAGAAAATGCAAGAGCTCTGGACGAGGAGACACCTGAGTACAGGGCAGAGAGTAGCGGACACAAGACACTGAAGTCCCACAGGTCACACAGCTCCCACAGGCTGCCCCACCCCGCAGCCCTGCCCTTGCCGGTCCTGATCCAGCGGGAGCGCAGGGGGCTGAGTTGGACCCAGGCCCCCGACAGATCAGCAACGCTATCCCCACAGCGCCCTCTGCCGGGCTTCCGGGAGACCACCCTGGCAGGTCGGGGTTGCTAGGCTGTGGCTCTTGGATGCGGAGGCAAGACCAACACCCAGCGATCACGCTCCGCTCCTGGAGAGCGGTAAGTGAGAATGTTGCCCTGGGCTTGGGCTCCTGTCAACGGTGCATGACACGACGATGTGACTGGTAGATAAGTAGTGGCTCCTGGATTTGCTGCTCAGGTCAGCTGTGCAGTTTGCGGAGCCACAGAGCAGAGCGCAGGCCCCAGCTTCCTCACTTATCAGTTCCGGGAGCCCAGGCCAATCGCTGCACCTCCCCGGGCTGCTCTATTTGACTTACCTGTTAGATTATCCTTGGTCTGCCCAGCTCTCCGGTATGTTTCAAGGGGCTGCATAGATAGGTATGGAACAGCCGTGATGGACAGCTGTGGAACTGTTCTACAAGTCAATGTGTCTCGCAAATATGTACTGAGTACTGACCATGTGCCAGAGGCTACTCCAGTGCCAGAGATGTAACAGTGATGATGAGACAGTCTTCTGGAACAAACATTCTGGGTGATAGCAGAGAGAGAATAAATCAGCAAACGCACAGTGCCAGGCAGTAAAAAGTGCTGTATTTAGGGATGCAGAATAAGGGCTAGGGAGTGGAGTGAGTGCTGCTTGAAAGAGGGGGTTCTGGGATGGCCTCAGGAGGAGGTGGTCTTTGAGCAAAGACCTAAGACACACCAGGGAGTGAACTCCACAGCCATCTGGAGGAAGAACATTGCCTGGAGGGAAGGCCAAGCCAGAGGCCCTGAGATTGGGAACGCACCTGGCCTGTCTGAGGAACAGTTTGGCCAAGCAGAGTGGAAAGCTGGGGAGAAGGGCACCAGCCAATGCAGAAAATTAGTCAGACCCAGTAACGACTTTGACTTTTATGCTGAGTGGGATGGGCTATCTTTGGAGGATTGCTTTTTATCATTTGTTAATATCAATCCTTCCTGAAGACCAGCCAGTGCCAGCACTATGTCCTGAGCTCTGCTAGGATGTATTATGATTACTAGCGAACGTTTACTGAGGATTTAGCATATGCCAGGCTAGACCAAGTGCATCAGGGTAGTCATCCCTTGTGACCTTCCCAACATTCTTGAGGCAGGTGCTTCACTATCCCCATTTTACTGATGAGGAAACTGAGGCTCAGAGAAGTAAAGTACCTGCCCAAGATCTTTCATGTTTTTGGCAAGTAGTAACGAACGTCTCTTCTGCATTGTACTGAGCCATTTTCACACTGCTATAAATACATTACCTGAGACTGGGTAATTTATAAAGGAAAGAGGTTTCATTGACTTACAGTTCCACATGGTTGGGGAGGCCTCAGGAAACTTACAATCATGCCATAAGGCAAAGGGGAAGCAGGCACCTTCCTCACAAGGGAGAGAAAGAGAGAGAGAGAGAGAGAGAAAGAGAGAGAGAGGGAGAGTGTGTGTGTGTGTGTGTGTGTGTGTGTGAAGGAGGAACTGTCAAACACTTATAAAACCATCAGATCTCCTTGTGAAAACTACCTCACTATCATGAGAACAGCATAGGGGAAACTGACCCCAAGACTGAACCACCTCCCACCAAATCCCTCCCTCAAACATCTGGGGATTATGGGGATTACAATTTGAGTTGTGATGAGATTTGGGTGAGGACACAGAGCCACACCATATCATACATGCTGTTTTGAAGCACTGGGCCACACATCTATTAAGTCATGGAGTGGTGATTCAAACCCTGCACTGTAACTCAAGAGCCAGTGCTCATGCCAGGTACACCAAAATGCATGTTGGGGTGGGGGACAAAAGCTGAGGAGAGAAAGTAAAGGGCCCATAGCAGAGACAATGAGCTCCTCATGCTTGGAAGTGTAACCAGAGCAGAATGAGCGCAGTGAGGGGCAGGCGTATCTGAGGGGTGGGCTGTAGGACCTGAGGTGAGGAAGAATCAGCCCCCTAATCCCTCTGTCATGTGTTGAATTATGTCCCCAGCCCCCAAAGATATATGCTGACGTCCTAACTCCAGGTACCAGTGAATGTGACCTTCCTATTTGGAAACAGGGTCTTAGTCCTCATCATATTAGATTAGGAGTTTGAGAATAGCCTGGACAACATAGCAAGACCCCATCTCTTAAAAAAATCATATTAGATTAAGGCCTCCCCTAATGACTCGGTTGCATCTGCAAAGACATAATCAGCCCCCAAAAGATAACTGTCTACTATGACAGTTATCACCTTATGATAAGGTGTCCTTATAAGACAAGTGACACACACTCATGCAGGGTGAACACCATTTGAGGACATGGGCAGATATTGGAGTGATGCCTCTACAAGCCAAGGACTGCCAAGGTTTGCAGCAATGCCAGCAGCTAGGTGAGAGATGTGGATAGATTCTCCCTAGAACCTTCCGATGGCCTGATGACACCTTGATTTTGGATTTCTAGTCTCCAGAACAATGAGAGAATACATTTTTGCTGTTCAAGCCATACCATTTTTGGTACTTCATTATGGTAGTCCTAGGAAACTAATACATTGCCCCAACCCCAGCACCATCGCCTCCATCCAGGGCCACCATGCCCTCCAGCTCTGTCCCCTCCACTCTCCTGCCCAGAACCCACCAGCTGCTTCACAACTCAGCTGGGTCCAGAAAGGTGAGGGAAGGGCTTGGATGAATCAGAAAATAAAATACGTGAATGAATGAGCAGTGCAGCTCTATTTTTTTCCTGAGAAAAATTCTTTGAAGAAAGTTAGTAATCTACTTTAGTATTAAAAAAATTAGAAAATAAGCCAAAAGAAAAGATATAAAGCTAAGCATATTAAAATTTTTCATAATTTGGTGTGAGGTGATTTTTCTTCATCTTTATTTATTTATTTGAGATGGATTTTACTCTGTCGCCCAGGCTGGAGTGCAGTGGCGTGATCTCTGCTCACTGCGACCTCTGCCTCCCTGGATCAAGCAATTCTCCCTGCCTCAGCCTCCTGAGTAGCTGGGATTACAAGTGCCTGCCACAATACCTGGCTACTTTTTGTATTTTTCAGTAGAGACAGGGTTTCACCATGTTGGCCAGGATGCTCTTGAACTCCTGACCTCAGGTGATCCGCCCGCCGCGGCTTCCCAAAGTGCTGGGATTACAGGCGTGAGCCACCACACCCAGCCTGAGGTCAGGTGACTTTTCTAAGCATGTTACCAGGGGAAGTTCCAGATTCTGTGGGGCCTGGAGTTTACAAAATTTGTTGCGTAAGACTCTCTTTAGGAAAAAGAAAACAAAATCACAATCACAAATGAAAAATTAGGTGCAGCCTTGAAAGAGGCCCAGGCAAGTGAGGGATCGATGCCTAAGCTTTAACTTCATGGAACATCTATCTCTATGTGAAAAAATATATATCCAGAAACCATGACGGGAAATGTTGACAGATGTGCCTATTAATCTGCTTGTCCCAAAATGTTATAAAGGATAAATAAAAATATTTGCCATGTGCACAATAAAGGGTTAACCACAAAAATCTGTTTAAAAAAAATCAGTGGGAAAAAAAGACTAACTTTTTTGAACACTGACTGTATTATTCTCAGAACAGTCCTGGGATGTAGACATTGTTATCCCAATTTAAACAGGAGGACATTGAAGCTGAGGGGGATGGAGCAATTGTCCAAAGTCACATGATTTTTCAGAGGAAGAGCTAGGATTTAGAGTTCGAATAACTCTAAAGCCCGTATGTTTTCTACTACATAGCAGTCAAAATTGGAGCTGATTTCCAAAGATGGGGAAAATAGAACAAAATGTGGAACCTATAAATACCTGCAGGTTTTGTTTTGTTTGGAGACAGGGTCTCATTCTGTTGCCAGGCTGGAGAGCAGTGGCACGATCTCAGCTCACTGCAACCTCAACCTCAGGGTCAAAGGATTCTCCCACCTTAGCCTCTCCAGTAGCTGGGACTATAGGTGGGCCACCACGTCCAGCTATTTTTTTTGTAGAGACAGGGTTTCCCCATGTTGCCCAGGGTGGTCTGGAACTCCTGGGCTCAGGTGATCCACCTGCCTCAGCCTCCCAACATGCAAGGATTACAGGCGTGTTTCACTATGGCTGGCCAATAACTACGGTTTTTGTCCCCTTGTAAAAAAGCCTGACATTTGGCCGTGCACGGTGTCTCACGCCTGTAATCCCAGCACTTTGGGAGGCCGAGGTGGGTGGATCATGAGGTCAAGAGATCGAGACCATCCTGGTCAACATGATGAAACCCTGTCTCTACTAAATAATACAAAAAATTAGCTGGGCATGGTGGCGCGTGCCTGTAATCCCAGCTACTCAGGAGGCTGAGGCAGGAGAATTGCCTGAACCCAGGAGGCGGAGGTTGCGGTGAGCCGAGATCGCGCCATTGCACTCCAGCCTGGGTAACAAGGGCAAAACTCCGTCTCAAAAAAAAAAAGCCTGACATTTTAGCTCTAACAATTTTTTCTTCCCTTTTTTTTTTTCTGTAGAGAAACTTCTTTACTATGTTGAGTTTTCCAATCCACGAACATGATATGTCTCTTTAAGTCTTTTTTTTTTCTTCTTTTTGAGACAGGGTCTCACTTTGTCACCCAGACTGTAGTGTAGTGGCACCTTCTCAGCTCACCACAACCTATTCCTCCAAGGCTCAAGTGATCCTCCTGCCTTAGCCCCAAGTAGCTGGGACTACAGGCACACCCCACCACATCCGCCTAATTTTTTGTAGAGACAGGATTTCACCATGTTGCTCAGACTGGTCTTGAACTCCTGAGCTCAAGTAATCTTCCCACCTCGACCTCCCAAAGTGCTGGAATTTCAGGTGTGAACCCCTGTGCCCAGCCTGAGTCTTCTTCGATATTGTTTTCATCATTTTATAATTTTTAGAATACATATCTTATACATGTATTCTTTAACTTTTTTTACTTTTAATTGACACACAATAATTGTATGGCAATTTCCAATTACAAGAGGCCCTGTCAATTACATTTATTTGGACAACAATGTACAGTCTGGGGATGACACATTAACCTGAAGTGATCCCAATCAATAGCTAGTTTTTTTATGTTTATGGAGGCCCTCTAAGAGGCTTGGTGTCAAAGCAATTGAATACAGATTTAATTGTTATTCCTGGGGACATGATTGTAAAATCTCAAGAGTTTACAAAAGTTATAAACAAGCATTTTAAAGTTTGCTTTAAACAGTGGTACTTTGCCTGGGCATAGTGGCTCACGCCTGAAATCACACTGCTTTGGGAGGCCGAAGTGGGAGAATCACTTGAAATCAGGGGTTTGAGACCAGCCTGGGCAACATAGTAAGACCCTGTCTCTCCACAAATTTTAAAAATTAGCCAGGCACAATGTCTGCCTGTAGCCGCAGCTGGTGGTGGGGGCTGGGGGGCAGGCAGGAGGATTGTTTGACCCCTGGAGGTCAAAGCTGCAGTGAGCAATGATCTCACTACTGCACCCCAGCCTGGCTGACAGATTGAGACTCTCTCTCAAACAAAAAAGAAAGAGCGGTACATTAAATGAAGATGAGTGATCCTCCACCTACAGGACAAATGGGAAGGCCAGTTGTCCAGATGAGTGCTGGCAGCTCAGGACAACACATCCAGCTGCAGAGCACAGACTCTCAAGTCCTGGACCTCAAACAATGCAACAGGTGGGAAGGCTAGATGATTCAGAAAGTGGCTCAGGTACAATGGACAAAGATTCTGTGATCAATTTGAGTATAATTATTTTATGGAATTGGAGGAAAGCACTTGTTCTCAACATTTTATGAATGTGTGATTTTAAATGCATTTAAAGTTCAATAAGTATTATTAGCAGACATTGAACTACTTCATCTACATACCAAAAATTTACCAGTTTAAGTCAGCAAAAAATCTTTTGGGCAGAGAGAGAACCTTTATAGTGGTCATGGGGTCACGTTATATTCAGGACACTTTATACTCAGGCATCGATGATATTTGAAGCTCAAGGCACAACTATTGACCGGGTGTGGTGGCTCACACCTGTAATCCCAGCACTTTGGGAAACCAAGGCAGGCAGATCACCTGAGGTCAGGAGTCTGAGACCAGCCTGGCCAACATGGCGAAACCCTGTTTCTACTAAAAATACAAAAATTAGCTGGGTATGGTGGCGGGCGCCTGTAGTCCTAGCTACTCAGGAGGCTGAGGCAGGAGAATCGCTTGAACCCAGGAGGTGGAGGTTACAGTGAGCTGAGATCGTGCCATTGCACTCCAGCCTGGGCAGCAGAGGGAGACTTCATCTCAAAAAAAAAAAAAAAGGCTGGGTGGGGTGGCTCACACCTGTAATCCCAGCACTTCAGGAGGCCGAGGCAGGCGGGTCATAAGGTCAGGAGATGGAGACCATCCTGGCCAACATAGTAAAACC